TTAGTTACTGGTAGGCAGATTATTGTAACCTTTGGACAGAGCCAGGCTGGCTGTTTCCCCCCACAGACAGACAACTAACTGCTTTATATTTAATGGGCAGATGTGAGAGTGGTATAGATTTTCCCATCCAACTCACCGCCAGACAGCAAAGTGTAGTGCATTTCCCAAAGAGTCAAACTTTAAGCTAAGCCTCAGTGTTAATATTTACCACGAAGTGGAATAAAACTTTTCTACAAACTGACTTGAGATTAGGCTGTAGAAATCCACTATCCACTGCTTCTGCAGAGAACGCTGTATTCTTCCTCATTCACTTTGTTACTGTGTTTTTAACTATCAATATCTGCTTGTTTGTCATCATTGGCTATCTGGAGGGCAGTAAGAACAACAGGCTGTACAAACGTACACCAGGCTGTCAACGAGTGAGAAGGTGTATTGGGATACTATTCGCATTCCTTAAACTCAAATCATAAAATGTAAAAAAAACAAAAAACGTTTGACCCCGGGGTGGTGTTTTCTTGTTGTACAGCCCTGCCTGGCCTAGTTTCGGTTACTAAAAAGGTGCAAAGTTTGAGGGGCTGCTTCTGTAACCAGGTGATAATTCAAGTCAAAACTCTTACTGATGTCGGACCACACTTTGACATGCTGAAATCTTCTTGCTATGATATGGCGTACGACTCGATTGTGTTCTTAAAGATCACTCCAGTCACTGTATTTAATTCAGTTTTGGTGCCTGAATGCTTAAACCATAATGGGATTCAGGTCCATCTCTTTGTGGGTTGGATGTAGATAACGAAACGAATGTGGCTAATAATAAAGACATTTGCATGGGCGATGAAAACCAAACGGTGAAGACGGTTAAGACTGTACGTGTCACCTCATTCCCGGTTCATGTATTCTCAGTTACCAGTATGGTGTTACAAACAAGTTGCCTTGTGTGTTATTGCTTTTCTGTTAAGTCACACTTGGTGAACATCCTCTCACTCTCAAGTAGGTTCCTCCTTAATGAGCCTCCTCTCCTTCAGTGGCTCTAATCTGCAGGCAGAGTATAACTTCGGGCAGTATTAAGGATTGGGCTGATCAGCTGTCTGATATTCAGATAGAAATCAATACAACTTGAACAGAAAATCCTTTTTTTATCAGGGGTTTAAGACTGAGTAGAAAATCAGAGAATCAATATTTCCTGTGCTATTGGGAATTTCACATTAACTCCCTCAGTCAGGTTTCAGGTTGAGTGTAAATGAGGTGGGGGGAAAGTAGGAAACCAGTGTGTACATCTAGATCATCGGTGCTGTTCTGAGCCTCAGCAGAAGCGTGACGAATCTTTGATTATACACGAATGCCATACATGTGCCCATTATTCTTCATTGTCTGCCCTTAAATCTACTCCTTGGTGCTTATGTTTTGTTTGTGGTCATTTTCCACTTGAATGTAGCAAATCTTTGAACTGAACGTCGCTGTTGACTGAAATTGGCATGTTTTTGTAGTTTGTAGCACTTTCCCTCAATTGACCACCACTGAAATTTCAGTTTTTTAAATGGGCGAACGACCTTTTGAACTTTGCATTTATGTCAGTAACACAGAAGGGAGACATTTCAACGTTTACTTACTTTAATGTTAAGGCCTTTACTCAAATAAAACACAGTCTGCTTTTGTTGGTTTGGTGAACATCGCAGCTGAAACTAGAAATGAGGAATGAGATTTGGCAAGATTTTAGATTCTTTCACCTCTTGACCACGTTGCCCTGAAGTGTACTTGATCTTCCTCTAGCCTACATGAAATTTAAAGATTTTTTTTTTAAGTCAAAGTGATGCTGATACTGTCATTCTATGTTCACTTAATTAATCTGAGTCAAAGTTTTTTATGTGCCATATCCCAGGATGCAGTTTCAGAATCCTGGTTGAATCTGTTGATCAATGTGTCGGTGCTGGAGAAGTCATAGGAGCTGGTCCTCATATTTCGGCTTTTTACAGTGTTCAGTTTCCCCACAGCATTTCTGAAAATGCTCTTTGACATCTGAAATAAAACAAATGGTCTTTAAACAACGTTTGTGTGTGTGATATGCGTGATATGCTGTATGAGCAGACTGAGAAGAAATATGGGAGACAGTTGCTTATTTCAAAGCATATATTTCATTAAATTTGCCATAGTCTTCAGTTTCTGAAACAAATAATGCAATTTCACAAATGTTAAACAGAAAGTAAAAAGTGCTTATGTAGGCCTTAATGTTCATTGCGGACACCTGCAGTGTTTTATCTTTGCCACCAGAGGGAGCTAAGCAATTACAACATTCAACAAAATGTGCTTCATAGAACAAGTGATCTGCAACCTTGGAAACAGTCTAATGCAATCAATTAATATCATTCTTTGTAACAAGTTGAATGTTCTTCCAAAACACTGTTAATTTAGTTGGCAGAGTACACTATTCTTGTAGATAACTAGTGTCCACTGAGAAGAGATACATGATAGTTTGGAGAGAAACTGTTGGCACCTTTGGTAGCTGACTTGTACATTCATCCACAAAAATCATAATTTTCAGTAGAAAAACTTCAAGAGTTTTAACAGTGCAATCTTTAGTATTAGCACAATAAAAAGGCTATGATACATAATGAAACAGTTGTCCCAGTCCTGCTCCTTGTAATCTGAGGGCCCCTTGTTCCAAAACAGCTTTTTACATTAGTCCATGTTCCAGATCTGATGGCTTTCCAGATAACTTTGTTATCCAAATAAATGTTCCAAGAAGCAGATAAACCTGCTTTTGTTCTGCATCACCACATGATCTAAATGTTTCCCCGGTTAACACCGATGTAACTAACTTTTTCATGGTTTAATGTAACTGAAGATGCAACACGTAAGCATAAATGAAATGAACACGCCCTGTTTACATAACTTACTGTCATTACTGGATTTGTGTCTGTCAGGTCTGAAGTTACATGACTGATATTGGTGTCTGAGAATGGGGGCAACAAACAAAAGGCTGATATTTACATTGATGTCATGTCAGTGCTACAAGTAGTGGGGGTAAAAAGGGTAGATTCTTGTGGCCCCAATATTGCAGTATGATGTATGAAGATGTAGTAGGACTATGGTTTCGTGGCTACACCCCTGTGTCATCCTCAGTCTCCACCTTTTCCTCACCCCTCTCGGCAGTCCACAAAGTTTCCTTTTATCCAGTAGCAGATCTGAGCATATTTGAGAGGCGTGATTCTCACCGCTACATTAAATTCCTGAGACGCCCCTTGTCGCTCCACCCACTGATGCCCAGAAAACACACCTATAACCTTCCGCTCCCAGCGCCGGCGCCGCCCATCCCACATCCTTGCATAGACTCCTGACCCGCTGGCACCGGGCTGAGCATCACAGTGCTGGTACAGCAGGTCTGATGTTTCCTCGCCGGCCCGACAGAACCGATACACCAGCTGGCCTGGACGGTCATTATCAAATCCTGAGAAGTGGACTCGTCGACCAGGCAGCCTCTGAGCTGGGGGGCTGACTCCTAACTTCATGTGGCGGCGTTTGTGGGGTTTCTTGAGTTCAAGCAAAGCATAGTCATAGTCCATCCCAATGTCATTTGCATTCCCTTTGATCCATCCCTTGGGAACATGGGTGCGCTTGGCTCTGATCCACTGGAATTTCATTTTGTCGTTGGTTGGTGGGGCGTAAGGAGCAGGGCCACCTTCAACATGGTTGGTGAAGTTGGAGGGAAGGTAAAAGGAAGAAGGCTGTGTGTCTCGTTGCTTGGGTTTTAGAAACCCAACCCGCAGCTTCTGGGCTCCTTTCACATAGTTTTTACCATCATGAACGCAATGAGCCGCTGTGAGAACATGACGGTCCCCCACCAATGTACCAGAACACCCGGTGGACAGTTTGACAGAGACAGAGAATGGGTATTTAAGCAGGAAGTTCTGCCCAGCAATACTGAAACGCCCATCGTGGCCGAAGATCTGCCGCTTTCTCCTCACATGTGACCGCTCAGCCTTCCCAGATGACCCTGAGGAGTAGGCCGGACTGGTGTTAGAACTGGGCGTGTAGCCATAGATCCCAATGGCGGTCTCAGTGAGGTGACCATTGGAGTGGAGTGTCTCAAAGGCCAGAAGACGCCGCAGGTCCCAGTAACTCGGGCGAGGGGCTCTCTTGTGGCATTCTGGGTCACAGGGGGAGCTGACATCGAGGCGGGCCTGAGACAGGAAATGAGGGGCTGGTCGAGCCTCTGTCTGCTGTGGGAGGACCACAGGGACACGCTGGAGAACCCACTGGGGGCGGGAGGAGGAGGAGATAACAAAGGGAAGGAAGAGGAGTAATAGGAGAGAGGTAAACCTGTGGATGGACAGGATGACAGATCAGGTTAACTCAACTAGAAAGCATAAGTGAGTCATGCTTGACTCATTCACTGCCTGAATGAGTGGCTCTATCAAACATGGCTGGATGTCTGGGCCCCTCTTACTGTGCATGAAAAACATTCTCATTCCTTAAACCAACATCGCGGACTTGCATGGGAGTTGAGTTTGAGTTGAGGAGAGCATTTAAGCTGGAAGAATTTTTATCTGCGCTGGAATTTGGCATCTGTAAACTTCCACTGCAAGTATGACAGACAGGGCAAAGATCAGGCCTTACTAGGCTCTGATGGAAAATTCCTGAAGTGGCCTGAGGGAATGGCCTTAAGCCTGCAAGATAGACTGACTGACATTTTGTTGCACTGAATAAAGACTTTTTTGTAAATGGGTACAGTTTTGTATCTTAAACATACTCACACCTCCCTCCCTCTGTTTCTCTCCTGACATATGGAACTAATATAATATACAGTATTGCCATTGGGAGTCA